TGTACGGAAGATCCACAAGTCCATTTTGTAATTCTCCGAGCCAGTCGGAAATCAATAAAAAAAGGCCTGCCAAACAAACACAACCGTGCAGTTCCGTATCGTCTTCGTTCATCGCCACACGGTTGCCGCCTTCCTCCATTTTTTTTTTTTTAATGTTCGTTATCGTCAGTGAAGGGTCACCAGCCTGTTGATCGGGCACGACATGCGGTCTCATGCAGATGTCATCTCTGCTGCAGCAAACTTCCAAAGCCTTCGTCAACACCCAATAAAACCACCAGGTTTTCCACCGTCAAACCATCGGATTCGTCGGTGTTCACTCTATCGGATGATGTCGTTTTTCTTTTTTTTGGTTGGAACTGACCTTTGGAGTATGAAACGCCGGCATCTACAGGCGGTATAATTTTTAAAGCACCAAAAGAGGATATCCATGTCGTCGTTGCCCTCACCGCTCGTGGCACGCTCGTTGTTTTTTATTTTTATTTCTAAGTCTTTCTTATCCTTGTTGTTGGTTGCATCGAATGCTACAATTGCCACCTTATCATTCCTGCCTGTAGCCTTTGGTCAAGCCTGCTTATCATCGAAAAGCTAATTACAAAGGCTCTTTTCTTCAACCCCACTTTTTGCGTTCTGTTTTCCGGCTTGCATATCAGCAGGACAAGGAATTGCTGAAGCTCCATCCAACGAACTCATCTTCTCTTCCTCATTTGTCATTATGCCCTGTAACCATGGATGGTGGTAGAGCTTCTCCATCGAACTTCGCTTCGCAGGATCCACATGCAGGCAAGAACAAATAAAATCAATGGCATTGGCCGAGATAGAGCCTTTTATGTTCTTTGTCGGTAGTGAAGGTTGGCTTCTATCACCATCAATCCAAACTTTCCTACTTGTCGCTGTCCTCATAGTGAATTCACTATTTTCCACGGTGCTCACATAAGTTTGCTGAAAGCTCTTTGGCGTCCCCAAAATGAGTGGGGAAAACGGACTTCCGCTGATTGTGGAGTCCAGCCATCCCCCCGATGACTGGCAACATTGCGCGGTGCTGCCTAAAGCTACAGAGTTTATTGCTGTACCGCCGCTTTGTGTGGAGAATTGATCGGCTTGAGAAACAAATTCATTTGTCTTTCCTATATGCTCCCAGCCAGCATTGGTTGCTGCGGCGTTGGCATTGGAAGAATTGATAAAATTACATGTTTGCTGCGTGTCCCATCGGCAGCTGGAGGCATGGGAGAGATTTAATACCGGATTCATTCTGGATGGATCGTTTGCCGGCATTTTCTTATCATTCTCGCGCCCGTTGATATGCATGCAGCCCATTAAATCCTCATCCCGCTTGGAATGGAATGAAATCTCTTCATTTGGGGGAAGTAATGTAAATGAATCGCACCCCCGCGGGTTTTCAGCCTCGAGCGGGCACATGTCATTCGTGTCCCCGCCCTGGAGTCCACCTTCCCTTGAAGCCATCCTCTCTTCCTTATATGGATCCAATATCGTGTCATCAGCTGTGTATATCGTCTCCACACGAGTTAACGGATCATCTTTCTCCAAAAGAAGCAATGAATCGGGTTCACATATATTCTTCATGGGAGATTTGCTGCCGTTTTCGGTGTGCTCGCAGGCTTTCCGAAATTCCACTTCAAAAGGATCCGGTTCGGCAAGAATAGCATTCAATTGCGAACGAACATCATGCGCACGCCACGGAAGTCTCCCCATGAGTAGTACGAAGGCAGTAACGCCAATAGAGAAAACGTCTGCCTTGAAGAGATCCACCTCAGGGGTGGGTTGTGGGACACTGGCTGAGGAGTCCACATTTATCCTTGCCGACCTGCGAGCGGAAACCGCAAGGGTTGATTCCGGACCAACTTCTGTTTGTCTAGGGTTGCATTGCTCCCCAAACGAGTCCTCTCGCGAAGAAACTGAAGACATGGTCCCAATTCCCTTATCTACTTTCTCCGTTTTTAATAAACATGATGATGTCGTGGGTATCACTCTCGTACTACTTCCGTGACTGCTGCTACTAATACTAGGCTTGCGTATACAAGAGGGCGCCACATGTACCAGAGACGAAACCAACATCTCTGGCGGCATAAAAGCCACACTTCCCTCACGCCGTACACGCATAGCCGAGTTATCCACTACAATGGAGGCGCCAAAATCTGAGAGTTTTACATCCCCATCGGAAGTCAATAGAATATTTTGGGGTTTAATGTCACGATGGACAATACCGAGACGGTGGGTGTACATTGCTGCGGAGACAACACTACGCATCACACGTACAACCTCACTCTCAGGAAGTGCCTTATTGTCATCTATGGGAATTACAGTGCCATCATTTCTCATAGACATAATTTCGCCACGTTCGGCGAGTTCTAAAACCAAATAAATCTTTCTGCTCCTCGGGTCATCTATCACCTCAGCGAGGGCTACAATATTGTTATGACGCAACTTCTTCATGATGGCAATCTCAGAATGCACCTTATGCAGGGCGCAGTCTACCCCCCAGCACCTTTCTTTGCAATTTCATTCGATTAAACACCTTCAACGCGTAGTATATTTTGTCCTCAAGGTTATAGCAGAGCAGCACCTTGGAGTATGAACCTACACCAAGGTACCGCTTGGTGTAAATGACATACTTTCCATTGAGGAGCTTTTGATGATTCCCCAACAATTGCTCGTCCGCAGAACGACACTCAACAACTTTCTTCTTGAAGGAAAAGGAACGGGTTCGACCAAAATTAACACTCATTAGCTCCGCTGGTTCAGGTGGAAGAGAGTTGAGTTCAAGATCAGTCAGGGGTTTAAAGCCACTGCTCTCCTTCGCGCTGGATGCCTCAAAAAAACCACACGGATTCCGCGACGGCGACCTTGTAAAGTGAGGAGCCGATTCTATGGAACAATAAACCGTTATTGGCAAGGGTGGTTTTCCAGTGCCTCGTGAACGAAATTCCGTCGACGCTGAAGGTGTCCTCGCCATCCCACTTCGTTGCAGTTCACTGAATTGTCTGTTAAAAGTGTTGCTTAGTGAACATTGCGAGCTCTCTGAACGTGTTGTGGTGCGATTACCAACTTTCCCGTCTTGCTGAAGGCGCCCCTGGACATGACTGTCACTGGTGGTACTAGTTTTAGGGCTGCCAATCACCGCGCTGCGGTTAAGTTGGTTGGACTCACCGAGAAACCGCATTGAGGAGTAGCTCTGCGGTGTCATTGGTTCATCCAGCGTACTCCCATTCAACTCCAATTCATCATCATTAATGCCAAAACCCGTCCACCAGTTCCAGCGCACTGCGCTGACCGGCGGAACACACACAACACTCGGCGTCTTCGTTGAGGATGAAATAAATCCATAACAATAGCCACTACTGCTACTATTATTATTGTTGATATTACTATCGTTTTGGCCATCACTCGATGGTGATGGGTCCTTCGCCAGCAGAAGGGTACCACGTTGCCTGTTCTTCCCTTCTTCCTCCAGATTTAAATCATCGTCATCACTATCGCTGCTTTCTCCAATATGAATCACAGAACGATGTTTGCAGTCATCCATCCCGTTATCTTCTGGTACCACAATCCTAAGATTGACTGGCGAAGTAACTACGACATGGCCGTCTTTCCTATTCTCCACAGTACTATCGCTCGGGGGCATGGGTGGCGGTTCTATCACTTCCTCTCGTTCGGTTCTCGGGCAGCGCTGCTTCTGCAGGTAATCCGCAAACCCCATGAAGCCCACCTCGTCTTTAGCCTAATATTGCAGAGAGAGAGAGAGAGAGGAAGAGAAGGAGAGAGAGAAGGGATAAATGCATGCACACATACACAAACAAATACTTCTGCCTCTTTTACGGCTTTCCATCTTCCCTTTATTTCTTTGGAGGAATATTGTGATTTTCACACACGGTAAAAAGCCAGCGCTAATATTTTTGAAACACGCCAAAAAAAAAAAAAAAAAAAAAAAAAAAAGGAAGTTGTCTGCTGGTAGTAGTGGCAGGGCGTAGTTTTTCATGCAAAACTGAGGATTGTGTTTTCCCAGCAACCAACTCTCCGTTTCAGCTGGTCCGGGGTTGACAAATTCCCTTCTGCCCACAATGAACACTAACCCTCTCGCTTCTTCTTCTCCTACTTCGGGAATTGACCCCCGGTCTCTCCTCATCTTTATGCGTCATCTCATTCTAGGGTGTAACCTATCTGTACGCACTGCTGTATCAACAGCATCACCTCTCCTTTTCACAGATACAAGAGAGAAATCACAAGCACACACACACACACAAAAAAAAAAAGAATAGAATGATTTCCCTGCTTTCCCTTTTCCCGTTGTGATGTGAAGTTTTTGTTTTTCATGTTCCTTTAATGATTTTGTGTGTGTGTGTGGGACGAAAAGTGCTCTCTTTTTTTTTTTTTTTTCTCTGTTGTTGTATGGATCTCTCACATGTCGTTTCGAATGCCGACAGCTGTCCGCAACGAAACCCTCCCTTAAGAATGTGGCCACATGCGAAATCAGTTAAGCCCTCTGGATCTCAAAACGACAACAACTATACAATAAAACAACAATGATAATAATAAACGTGTAGACATGCCTCGCCCGTTTCTTTGCATTGAGGCAGTGGGCTCAACGGGGTTGCAGCGGATCAACCATCAAAGTGAGAGAAGCGAGAACCCCCCCACCAACACAAGCAGCAAAAAAAAAAAAAAAAAGACATTCAAAGGGCATCATCTGTCGCCCTCTTTCTCAGTTTCGAAAGTAAAAGCATATAAATTGTGGAACATATCCAACCACTTTTGTCTTCCTGCCACCACTTTCACACTCCTGCCATTCGTGCCCATTTGAGAAGCAAAAATTTTCTTTTTTTTAAGAGGCAAACACCCACCACTTTTCTTCCCCCAAAAAAGGCATGGGGAGAAAAGATCAAAAAGGAAGGGATGGGAGGGGAATGAATAATTTTTTTTTTTTTCTTTTCTTTACCCCACATTGAAAAAACTCCGTGTGGCCTCAGCGGCATTGTCCGCGACACTCACTTCAAATTACTTTGAAGCCGTTTCACGGCCTCCACCACTCGCCTCCGAAGCTCCATCGTGGAGGAGCCGCTTGCCTGCCGGGCAGACGCCATGGCTTCGCGACTGGCAGCCACCCTGGAAAGAACGGAGCGCACCTCCTCCTCTTCATCGGGGTGAACCCCGAGAATAAGATTTTGAAATGAAAGGGCATTTCCAAAGAACACTTTCTCCGGCATACTCATGTTCTTCACATTTTTGTCGCTGCTGCAGCTGCTTTTCTTTTCGTTGCTGTTATTGACTTCCAGATCCAATTCTCGGCAAGAAGGGGAGGTTGCTAACGAAACATTTGCAATACCCTTTTTCCCGTCAGCTGAGGATACGACCTCAGGGGATTGTTCGCCTGCACCCTCGCATCCCGAGCGACGGAGAGGCGCTGCCATAAATTCTGTGGCACTTTTGCGATCATCAAGAACAGATCCATCTCTGGGAGCAGAGCGGTACGTCACAGGGTCCATGGCGCTTTCCCTTTCGTCTGCACTCAACCGAGTATCTTTAAAGGTGCCTTGAGGCAAAGATGTATCGCGGCTCACTGGTTGTGCTTCCGAAGGGTATTGATGCTCTCCACTTGTTTTGTCCCCACCCATCTCACACCATTTTCGGTCAGTCGTCGGATCCTCGTCGTCGTCATCATCGGGAGCGCTCATGGCGGCATCAACAACATCAATGGTTTCTTCATCGCCGCAGGGATAATCGTCATGGGGCACTCTATTGCGCTCGCTCTCACTGTCGTTCCCAAAAACCCGAAAGCCATTACCCCGAGGACTCAAATCCGTCGTGCCGGTGACTGGGTTGTGTTCGGGTAATTGAGGCACACCACTCCCAGGCTTTAAAGCAGGAGGAAGAGACGACTCCTCCTCGGCATCAAAAGAGTCGATTCCCGCATCATCCGCAATGCGTTCAAAAAGTGGATCAAAGTGCCGTTCCTCCACCTGCTGGCTCTCCATCAACGTGATTCTCGGGGATTCTAAGCGGACAAAACGTGGCTCCTCAATTTCTGCACTTTTCAAAGGATCATGCGTAGTTAACGACTGCATCAATTGCCGGTGTAAGAGAAATGAAAAAGCAGCAATGATATCATTGTCATAGCACGGCCTTACCTTCGCCTCATGATTGACACGGTCCTCCAAGGAGCCAATAAAGGATGCATCCTCAATTCCAAGACACGTGGCTGAAAGGGGGGCAACAAAGGTAACGGGGCGTTGAAGTATTAAGCGCGCCCGTTCCACTGAATCGACAGCATCCATCTCGGGCACCTTGTCAGAGGAAGGCACATCCCCTTCTGCATGCAGGCACTGCACTATTGGCTGATCAAAAAGGTTCACTTCTATTTCTACACCCGCACGTGCTAAGTGGCTCTCAAAGTCTTTCGAGGTGATATTGAGCGTCGATGCTTGCATAAATGTACAGTCTTCATACCGTGGCGGAGTATTTACGTGTAGTGCAACGTGACAGACATGACAATTCCTTGCAATAAAGGCGCCACAGGCGGTTTGAAAAGTTACATTCTCACATGATTCCATAATGACACGACTTGCCGAGCAAACAATGATGTCCAGAGGCCCAGTGCAATCACGAATAATCAGCGTCCGCACTGCCTCCACGAGATGCACAACCCCAAAGGAAATGCGTTCCAGAACAACATCAAATAGAGATGAGGCTCCGTCAGGGGCTGCGCAAGGGTTCAATGTTCCAGGAAGACGAAGAATAAACGCATTGACAAGGTCATGTAAACATACAGGCGGTAGTTCAATATTATGCGTAAAATCTTTATCTTTCTTCCATGTCTTCTGTAAAAATGGCACCACTACCCATTTACTCAATTGGCGTAAACCTTGAGATGCCTCGTAAAAAAAACTCGAAAGTGGTACATCGCTTGGCACAAAGTCCACCAGTATCATCTGCTCTCTGTTATTTTCTATGTGCATGTCAACACATTCCTCCAATTCAACGGCATCGCCGTTAAATTCCGCACGTAGAAGAACATTCAATGCTTTTTCATTCTTCTGACTTAACGCATGTTCAAGAAGTCTGCGGAGAGATTCATCGCTGCATCCGTCAATGATGGATGCAAGAATTTCCTCCAAATGCGGCGCCTCTAGTGCTAGCGGAATGAGATTCATCTGGTAACAATGATCCAGGAGCAGGTACTCCGTCACTAGCAAGTGGGTCTCCATACGATAACAATATTCAAACAATGCTTCCTTTGCCATGAGGAAGAGGCACATCTCAGTGCATCGCCGTACGGTGACGCTCTCGGAGGAGCCCACAATAAAAACGGTGCAGTGTGAGCAGTCTTCAATGACGCAGTCCCCAACAAGGTCCATGATGAATATGATTGGATAGCTGGAACCACTCCCATCGGCGGCCATGTCTTTCAACTCCGATTCCGCATCCCTCCCATGACGATAGGGCCATGACGAGAAACGCGATGACACTTTGGGTGAAAAGGACGATGTCTCCCCCAAAGTGGCATTTTGATCGCCGTGAATCTGTGCGATGCGAACACTTTTCCCCGCAACCTCCGAAAAAAACAGAAACAAATTGCTGATACCGTCGTTTTCGTGAGTGAAACGAGTCCCAAAGGCCGCCAGCGCATGAGAATACGGGTAGTCAAACCCACCACGTAGCATGTTATATAATTTTATTGTCCGTGAAACAGGCGCTGACGCATTGGAAACAGACCCTCTGGGCAGCATAGTGACCATGTGCTCTTGCGGGAGCGACACGGCTGCAAAATCGGCAGTTAACCCCGCATAAGCCATGGTGTACGGTAACGCCGTTACATTCGCAGGTAATGGCGCGCTCCCGTAAGCACGTGGGGCTGCGCCTCCACCGCAGTGAAAATCAACATGAGAGACATCACGCAACAAGAGATGTGCACTTGACACAATAACAGGGACACAGTCAAACACCTTTTCAAAATATAGGTAGTGACATGGTCCGAGAAGAAGTTCGCAACCACGTACATTAGAAACAAGGACAAAACGAAACCCCATCAAAATCTCTATAACACAATTCTCCAAATCTTGAAGGATGAGAGTATCCACAGACGATCCGTATCCAACAGGCACCTCATCTCTATAAAGTACGAGGCGATTGTTGGATTTTCCACTAAAAACCAGCGCATGGGCCTCGACATCTACCCGCATACCTTTGGACACTACAGTACTCGTCAAAGTCACGGTATTACTATCTGCCATTTTCTGAGAAAAAGGTTTGAATGCATGGACCAACGATCGATACAAGAGAGACTTGACTGCAGTTTCCTCGCCCTGACTTTCATCGTCCTTTAAGACCTGTCGTCTTTCCAAAGATGGCCAGAGGATGCCTACCGTGTCCGTCTTGCATGCCACTCCCCTCGCATGATGATATGACTGGCCGTAGTGAAGGGCATCCCAGCGCGAGGCAAAAATGGAATTCCGCAACAATCGTGGCAGCAACGGCGTGGTACCACAATCCTTCTTCACACAGTCCATTGACAAAAAAATGGGGTACAACAGGCAGTGCACGGTCCGATCCATCAAAGCCGCTTCGTCCACTTCATCCTCCCTCATCGGCGCCCCCTCGCTGCTGCTTTTTGGATTTGGCTGAATGGGGAATTCAACAAAAAAGGAATGCTTCAGTAAACTCTTCGACACAAACTGCGCCCCGATGGCGGGGTTGGAGGCAGCACTTAGACACATGTGCACAAAATCTTTGGCCGAGGCAATAAATGCTTCCGTGTAACCCGCAATTCTAAATCGTTGTAGAGCGTAATTGCTCGTAAGCACATTTCCCAAGAGAGAGGAGCCATCATCATCATCTTCAGGATTGTGTGACGATAACGTTTCAACAACTTCCTTCAGCGTGGCAGAATGGAACGGAGGCACGCCGAGCAAACAGGTGACGACCAAAATGCCAATCGCATAAATATCATCCGATGCCTTCGGCCGCATCTCGGTCTCACTTGTACAACCATAGCGCTCCAAGACAGCACGATGAAATGCAGGATCTGATGTCCACGGAAAAGTCTCTTCATTCACCTTTTCGTGATGGCTCCATACAAGTTTTACAAACGGTTGAAGGGCTCTTGCAAGACGCGGAGAAATAAATGAGGCATCTGCTGGAAGCAGTGGGTTACTCATAATACCACATGCTCCTGTGAGCACCGTTCTTCCGTCATCCGTGCAGCAAAGAACGTTGCCACTGTGAAGACACCCGTGAACAAACCCAGCGTCATGTAAGACAGCAACCTTCTGAATGACGGACTTCAGAATGGCCACTAGTTCTTGCTGTGAAAAGGGGAGAGTGCTAAAGGCAACCACATCTGAGAGACTCACCGTACATGCATCAATATCAATCACCCCAATCAACCGGCATGAAGAGTCCACATGTAAAGAATGCACTCCACGAAAAATGACCTTTCTAAGATCCACCCCACTTCGATCTGCGATGGCTTCACTTTCCACATCTTCTCCTTCTTCGTCCTCTTGAATCTGATTATCAATCGTCAACCCTGCTTCCGTGAGGATTGTTTGCATGGATCGCATGTGTAATGCCAAACGATGCAGCGTATCAAAGGCCATTTGAAGAATTTCCGCCGCCTCATCGCCCGGTTTTTTCGCAGGCCTCGTGTAGAAGAGTGAGATAGTCTTCACCATCGTTTCCGTGACAAATACGGATCCCTCCATCGACACTTCAGTCTCCTCACCACTGAGGTTTGAACCTACGTAAAAGTGACTCAGCAGCGTTACGTCAACCAACGACATTGTTCTAAGCACACTGTCCCATTCCCTGTTCTCTTCAACGTAGAGCATTTCCTTATCATCGCTCTCCACTATGTCTTTTGACATTTCTTCTTCTTCCTCCTCCTCCTCTTCTTCCTCGGTTTCTTCTCCCACCACCGCCCCCTCCTCATCGTCCACGAGCTCATGGGTGTCAGTCACCCCTGTGAGCTGGTCACCAAGGCGTCCCATGCCCCTCAGCGCATCGCACCCGTGACGGGCCAAGGGGCGCACAACGTTTTCTGCGGATTCAACAAGTTGGTGGTGCAGATGCCCCTCACAAAAATCATATGATGCACGCTCCAAGCCACGCCTCATGATCTCCTTCTTATCACTGTCGTTGCTGCCATTTTGTTCGTCATCATCGCCACCGTCGTCGTTGTCATCATCAAAGACGAAGGATTGAACTTCACGGCAGTTGCATTTGCCCACCGCCATGGGCAGGGTGGCCGTCTCAGGCCTCGGATAAGAAGGCAGAGAAATGACTTGTGTGGCAACTGCTGGCGACGGCGGCTCATTACCAGAGGACACGGAATTGGTCCCCCCGCCGCCTCCCTCCTCAGAGCTGGACGGATCATCAAAGTCCATGCAACAATCGTTTACTGGCGGCGCTTCCTTCACTTCCTTCCCTACACTTCAAAAACAAATCCCAGCCACACAAACAGACACAAATAAAAGAAAAAGTGAATGAAACACAACCAAACAAAAGAAAGGAAACGGTACAGCAAGCGACACAGCAGAGACCACACAATGCGTCGCAGCAAAGACAAAGAGAGAGCTAAATAAAGGCGCGCAGAAGACAAAACAACAACAACAAAAAACACTCCAAAGAAAAAAAAAATAATTAAAATATGACAACAACAAAAAAGGGGTAAACGAATGCCGCGCCAAATGCGCTTGCGGCCTCGCAGAGTAAAAGAGGAAAAAAAAAAAAAAAAAAGAACAACAACGGATGAAAACACCTGCAAACAGCGGAAACAGGTACAATCGTGGGCATTATGCACCATCAACAGGCCACAAGAAAAGCTGGAAATAAGTCTGACACCAAAAAATAAAAAAAATGAGGGCGCATCTGCCTTCCGACACCAACGTCGCTTCTATTTACGCAGGCACACGATTGAAAATATCACCACATCGTCCCTGCTTCACATATCGTTTTAGCTTTGAACGCCCTCAATATCCAAGACACCAACTTCTCTCTGCGTTCCCAGTCAATTTCTTTAATGGCGGCAATTCTACAAACCGCATTGCGACCACTCGTCACGGTCGTTCCTCTCGCCGCTTCTTCTTTCAATTTTTTTTTCCTCCCTTTTTTATTATTATTCATTTTGTTATATTCTTACTGTTTACATTCACCAATTTTTCCTCCGTGCCCCACTCTCCTCCCTGATTTTTCTTCTGGAAATAAACCCAAACGGTAATTTAAGTCTTCTTATACATATGCCTGCCGTTCATCTGCTTACAGTCGGCCTGCCGGACAGTTGCGGCTCGATGGACAATCCGGCAATAATTCACGTATGCACATAAAAGAAAAATAAAATAAAATAAAAATACAACTGCTTCCACAAGGTGCAACCTGCACCCGCCACGGGAATTTTCTTGCAAAGGGAAGAACACGTCCTCTTTTGCTGCTGTCGTTCACCCTCCCCTTGGAACGCATAGTGTTGAGGTACACACACGCACACACACAATTGCTTCATGCGCTCATTTATTCAATCAGTCACACAAAAAGAATCCGACAAGGAAAAGGTGTGCAGTTTTTCTCAGCCTCATTCCCCGTGGTTGTTGTTTTTTGTGTTTGTGTGTTGCGCGTGTTTGCGTCTTTTCTTTCCTCCCCTCAATGCGCCTTTTTTCTGTCTACGTATTCTCCCCATACAACTCTGCCGCGCAGCATGGTGTATATGCCAAGTGCAAAGACTAGGATTGAAATGAAGTATCCCGTCCCGGCCATCCAGAACCCCTCGCTAAGTTCTGTAAATGGTCCCGTCGACAAAAGCAGAATGTCAGCAATCATGTCGGGATCCATCAGTGGATTCACCAGATTTCGTGCAATGGTAGCATTCTTGGAGACCTGTAACTTTTTCATGACATCCACGCTCGCGGTGCGGGCCGCAGATACACCTGGCACCCCCGCCCTGTCAAAGCAATTTGTCGCGCAAAGGGCGATGGTGCAGGATGCGTCACTCGGAGAAGCATCCGGGGCTGGTGTACAGAAATTGGGGTTCTTCACAGGCACCGTCGACACCTGCTCCAATAATTCATAAAACGTCTTGCATTTTACGGCAGAAGGACAAAAGAACGGCTTTTGGTCTGAGAAAACGGGATTGTTATCGCAGTATTCGTTGATCGCCGTGCACGCGTCCGCCACATGCAAACTAATGAGACTCTCAATGCTTGTGTCAAGTTGCTTAACCTGGGCGTTGAAATGACTCTCAAAGTACGGTACAACATACCACTGCAGTATACCAGGCCTTCGCGCCAGCTGGCGATCCAATTCTCCGTTCAGAGCACTGCCGAAGTACGCTGCAACCAGAAGTATGACAGACAACAGCGCAAATACAAGCCCCACAAAGTAGTAGACACAGGAAAAACATGCCGGGAGACAACGTGATATGCGACACAAACCAAAGAAAAGAGCAAATAGTAACAACACAAACGGCATCCATCCAAGAGAATATGAGACAATCGCGGCATCGTCCAAGTACTTCAAGTACTTTCTATCAAAATCATCAATATTCCTCATCACAGTGTCATAAATGTCAACAACAACCTGAGTTTCTTTTTCAATAATGGGCAATATGACACCATCAACCATCGTATATTGTTCAACTTGTTTTGCGATGTTCCTAAAATAAGGTGCGGTTGTGTGCTTTGCGTTGTAGACTGCATCTTGTACGCCTGTGTGCATGGTATGCGCACCCATAATAATGGCCACCATCGATCCAGCCCCCCAAAGTATGGCAATAACAGCGGCAAGGTACAAGCAACTGGGGCCATTATAATGCTGCGCAGCACTCGTTGGAAACAACACGTTCGGCAACAGGTCCCGTTGCAGGCGCAGATGCAGAAGCATATTGGAAAAATAATGAGCAACAGTACAAAGAAAAGTGCTGCAAATCCGGGGTAAATGTAATACCTCCAATTGTCCTCAATGCGATTTCTGTTTGAGAGACATGCCTTCACACTGTTGGTGGAGCTTGGCCCTGACCATACCTTCTCGCAGCCCACCGTGAGGGCACTTACCTGCGTAACCGCAAATGCAAGTACGAAAAGACATCTAAACGCCAACAACAACCGCGGTCCACAGCCTATTGGACGCCTCATTGTCGGTCAATTACTTCTTATGTCAACGATGGTTCCTCGCCTTCCCCTCCCTTCTCTACGTGTGTTCCCCCCCCCTCGATCTTCTCGTTGGCCAAAGCCCTCCTGAACCCAAAGCTCGTGGTCCTTTTGTGTGTGGTTCGTGTGACACAGTAATTTCGATGTATCCTCTCAGTTTCCCTTCGTTTCCTGTTCCTTCACTCGGCCACTCTCACACCTCTTCACGACCCATCACCACCCCAAAGAAAAACAAAACAAAACAAAACAAAAAGAGAAAGAATCAAAAAAAACGGTTATTGTGTTCCACTGTTTGGGTAAAATAAATCAATAAATAGTATACGGCGGAAAATTGCTTATTTTCCCGTCCTGTTGACATGAAAATGAAAACAAGAAAACATGCATAAACGAAAAGTAGACAACACATAAACACAGAGACACACACACACACAAAAAAAAAAATACGCCTTTTTGAGTGTGAAAATATGTGCTGCCTTCCTCTCCAGTGCTTGTGGTAATGTGTACATGCGATCAAATAAAAATAACATCAAAGAGAACCACAGCTATCAACCGTGCGTTTACGCCTTCTCCCCATTTGTCCATCTCTACAGGTCCGTAAGCCACTGGCATGCATCGCAAAGAGAAGTCTCCTTCGAAATCAAATCAGTCGAAACTCCACCATATCGGCAATACAGGGTAAGAAGTACAGCCGCTGCCAATTCTCTCATCCGCGCCGGAGTGTCGGTCTTCGTAACGCGGCAGACAGAGGCCCAGGAGTTCCCAGGCGGTGCTGATATCGACAAGGGCTTCTTTTTCTTTCTTTGCTGTTGGAACGACTGCTCGTTCGTTATGGACTCGAGCAGCTGGGCTCGCAACAACCGCAGTACAGAAGTCCAAAATGCCTTTTCGTGGCTCTCCAGAAGTGTGACTGGGTCTTCTTCTTCTTCTTGGGATTTTCCCTTCTTTTTCGCATCCCCTTTAGCCTCATCGTACGTTTCACCTCGCTCGTCGTTTTCGACGACAAAATGGGCGCTGGTGCTTACACCAGCAGGCGCCACAACATTATCCCGAGTACTCACCGCTTCTCTCCCGCTCTCGTTCTTCACCGCGCCCCTCTGACCGTACGTCACCACCAGTCCTCTTAAAGTGACGTCCAATGCCTTCTCACCCCCGTCATCATTTACCACAAGTGGCACCTTGCCGTGAGCACTGTCTTCATCAGTTATGATTGGTGTCACGGAGGCCAATAACCCTCCCACAGCGTGAAGGTTCTGTATGAGCCTCAAGCGCTGCGCCTCACGTAGCTGTGGGCTCAACACCGCCGCCAAGACGACAGAAAAAACTTGGGCGGTGGTTAAAATATCTTCAAACATGAGCGCCGCTTGCACAACACTGAATGTATCCCACAATTGATTGAGTGAGGAAACGACGTAGGCGGGCTCTACACGACCGAGCAAAACACGCACAGAAGAAAAGGCCTCCTTAGAAGAGTCCACAGACCCCGGCTGTTGCGGCGGCATAGAATATACTTCACCTCCCTTCTCCCCATCAAATTCACTTGTGAGGGTCCCAGGAAATCTAGAGGAAGCGCTATGGATGCGATGGTGGGTGGAACATGTGGGATCCTGCATGCAGAGCGGTTCCGCCTCGTGGGGTCGGAGCAGGAAATCCAACTGATCCACAGAAAATGCAAAGAGTCCACGCAACCACATGGCGGCAACGTTACGCTGCTCATCTGGAAGAAGTCGAGCGCCCACAATCTGAAGCGCCAATTGCCGCTGTAGCAAAGGTGCCTCAAAAAAGACTTCTAGGCACAACACCGTCGCCTCCTCCAAGACCACAAAGTCAATTTTCTGTCTAATGACAGACGCCACTGTTGGACTCATCATTTTTTCGGTGGAAGATGGCACCATCGACCCACCCCGAACCACGTTCGCCGATTCTTCTGCAATGACATACAAGGCCTTACGAAATGTAATGGTTAAAAGTTCCAGCAAAAACACTCGCAATTCCCATGCATCCGCGGCCCGTTGAAGAAAACTTCCCGATGCACCCCGCTGCTTCACATCATTCAAAACAAAAAGAAACGGTTCAAGTGCCAAATCCCATCGATCCCATGCGAGAAATTGTATTACCATTGCTACTCCAATTGAGCGCTCACGCATAGAGGAGGATCCAAGGGAGCCCATAACCCCACGCGCGCACAATTCGACAGGTGTGGTGGGAGAAGAAACAAGGGACATAGAAGATAACGACACCCCCGACGTTAT